AAAAATGTTCAACATCACTTGTCATCAGGGAAATGCAAATCAAAACTACCATGAGATACCATCTTACACCAGTGAGAATGGCACATATTAAAAAAACCAGCAACAACAAATGTTGGCGAGGGTGTGGAGAAAAAGGAACTCTTCTGCACTGTTGGGGGGAGTGCAAACTGGTCCAACCACTATGGAGAGCTGTGTGGAGATTTCTGGACCTACTAAACATAGAGCTTCCATATGATCCAGCAATTCCACTCCTAGGTATTTATCCAAAGGACACAGAAACATCAATTCCAAAGAACACCTGCACCCCTATGTTTATAGCAGCACTGTTTACAAAAGCTAAGCTTTGGAAACAACCCAAATGCCCAAAAATAGATGACTGGATCAAGAAGATGTGGTACATATATACCATGGAATATTACTCAGCATTCAAAAAAGATAAACACATGCAATTTGCAGCAACATGGATGGCGCTGGAAGGGATCATGCTCAGCGAAATAAGCCAAAAAGAAAAAGAAAAATACCGGATGGTCTCACTCATAGCAGGAATCTAGAAAGCTTAAATAAGGGACCAGGAAAATGAATAACTATAAGAAAGTGAAAATCAAAATCAACAAAAAACTATGAACCAGAGACACTTTTAGGGGGGCGGGGGCGGGAGGGGAGGATTGGGGTCAGAATGGGGGGGCTGCAATTGTATGGGGAATATAAAAATAAAATTTATTATTTAAAAAAATATAAATAAATGCTAGGAAAACAGATGCCATTCCTATGGAAGCATGGGAGTCTCTACATTACAGGCTCTGAGAGGGTTGGCTATTGTCTTCTTCTCTCATAATACTCCACAGTAACCATCCTCATTCATCCCCATTTGCCTCTCAAAAGGGTATCAGACCAATCCATTTTCCTTTGAAATGTAGATGCCCCGCAGTCAAGGTCATGTTCATTGGAACATGCTCTTTCCTCATTAACTGCAGTTTATAAAAGGAAACATAGGGAGCCATGGGTACAAAACCCCCAGCAACTGCCCTGAAGACATGTCCCTCTGGATGTGCCTTGCTTCTCAGCTGAAACAGCAAACTTCTAACAGTTAAAAATAGAATTGGACCTTCCCCAGGTTAAAATTGAGTGTGGAACTGTTTTTTCTGCAACTTGCAAAGGAGGTCTGTAGAATTAGCAGTCCTCTTAAAGCATACCGCAAAATAGTCCGTGAGGACCTCGGAATCTGATAGACATGTCAGAAACTCTCTTAGTGGAATGTACAACATATAAGAAACGTCTGTGTATAGATTTTAAGTCAAGACTCAACACGACATTCTGGACTGTGGGAGGAAGAGCCCAAGTAGCTCAGTTACCAACCCAGAAAGCTGGCTTTCTGTGTTTTATAGACCTCACTAATGAATGAGTCCCAAGGCCTGTGCTGGACCCGGCTTTCCAGTGCTCTGCCAGCCCGCCTCCCACACATCTGTAAATTCATCAAGCTATGACGGATGGCTAGTGCCAGCAGAGGCGAGGTCTAGGTCTTTCTCTCCAGGATACATAGAGATCTCCAGTCATTTATAATTCATTCTAGAGTAATGAACATAGCCCTACCAAGTTATGAACAGTAATAATCAAGTGACAGATCAATTTATTACTTCAGTGTGCCAATAGATAATGGTAGTTAGTAATGAAAGGTGCAGATCACCGCCCCCTCACCCCAAAGTTTCATAACACTTAGACCAATGTGTTTTTTAAGTTCTAAAATGAAATGGATCATTAAAAAGAAAATGAATTATGTTGGGTAGCCTCAAGCCTGTTTATATTCAGAGTTGCTTATCCAGAAATACTATATCTTTTTTTCCCAAAAGCCTTTAGGCATTGGATCCTGCAAATCAGAGTAATTATTACTCATTAATTAAGTCTGAGAAATGTAACACAGTTCCAGACTTTGAAAAGGGAAGTTGGAATAATTGAGAAACATTCTCAAAAAAGTCATCAATAATAATTTGAGGTTTGGTGAGTAAGTAACTGTGTTGAGAATAATTGTTTTACATACATTCAGAAACTCCTATCATCTTTTAGCACCTCAGTGAATATTTGTTCTGCTTCTCCTGGCCCAAGAATGGTGCTCAGCACTGGTACCATCAGCTAAGATAAGCACAGTTTCTATCTTAAGCCAATGAGAAATTAATAAAATGTAATAAATACAGGGGCAGGCCAATATTTCTGTCCTCACTTAGGAGTAGAACATTGAAGAAATACTAGCCAGAAACTGCAGAAAAGAAGGGAGTCATTGAACTAGGCCTGGCCCAATAACTCTTTGCCAAGCAAAGAAAGAGTAAGAACATTCTAGGTAGAGAAGAAAGACTCTCAAAGGCACAAAGGTGTGCAAGTTAAAAAAGAATGCATAGTGAATTATTATAGAGTACTCATTTCATTTCCCACACATTGTCACATCTAATCTGCACAACAACCTTAAGAATTAGGTGTTTTTTTCACCCCAAACTCCCCCATTTTAATAATAATAAAAAGGAAAATGAATTATGTCTAAGTCAAAGCTTAGACATATTGAGTCCCTTGCCCAGGGACCCACAGCTGGTAGATGGCAAAGTAGGCCTTAAAGGTGAGTTGGGAAAAGGTGAGCTATTTCATGAGAGTTTGGACTTTATATTAAAAACAATGGAGCCCCCAAAGAGCTTATAACGATCATTATCAGAACAATCAAACAATAGAAGCATTTCTAAATGCTTTAAATACGCTGTGTCATTGTGTTCTCCCAAACAACCCAGCGAGGCGTGCGGTCTTTGTAGTCTCCAGCAGTGGAATGACTTGGTGAGAGCTGAATTGTAGATAGTAACTGGTGGTGGCAGCTAGAATAACGTTGACCTTGGAGATTCTAGTTAGAGAGCCTAGTTGACACTTAGATGTACATAGTACTGAGAAGCATGATGGTGAAAAATGATAATCATCCAATATGTCTTTTTATTGGCCTATAATTTAACAGTACTTCCATATATAGCTTGTTGATTCATTTGCATAGGGACTTTTGAGACAAGAAGAGTAAGTGTAGTGACTTAGCCCACTTGAGAGGGGAAGCCTAAGGGCATGGAATTCGCTTCCTCACACGGAAGCTGATGTTGAAAGTGATGTTATTGGGGCCTCCCCGGTGGCGCAGCGGTTGAGCGCTGGGTTGCGAAGCTGCTCGCGGCCTCTGCGGCGCCAGTTCGATCCCCAGCTGCTCCCCGGCCACCGGAGGAGGGTCCCGCATGGCGCGCAGACCTCTCCTGCCGCCCGCTGCTCCCCTCAGCAGTGTACTTCGGTCCTTCTGCCTGCTCTGCTTCCCGCTCTGGCTCTGGTGAATTCTCTCACCCTCCCGCGCTTCTGACTGTACCCAGCGCATGTATAAACAAAACAAACAAACAAATAAATAAATAAAACATGCCTCTATTTAAAAAAAAAAAAAAAAAAAAAAGAAAGTGATGTTATTATAAGCAGCTTGTAAATATGCAACTTGCTGATTGATTGAAGCATAGAGATAATGTCTTTCCCCCTTGTCAGGTAAGACCTTTAACATCCACATTATGCTTTCAGTCTAGAAGTATGATGCTGTTCTGGGCAGAGGGGCTAACTGCAAGCAAATCAGTAAGTTTGGCTAGAACTCAAAAAATGTTTGTAAAGTATGCTTATGGGAAGCAGAAACAAGCCAGGATAGCAATGGTGACTCTTCTTGTTATAGGGGTTGCTTGGCAATCAAAAAGCCAGATTTCCCCACCACCACCAACCCGCCCTTCCCCTGCCACCCAAGTAGACTATTTTGTGCCTCTGTTAAAGTTTCATAGACTAAAGTACCTCATGGCCCTTTCAGAGAAGGAAGTTTTATGAAATTAGACTCTTAGCCCTAGAAAATTACAGAAAAGTACACATCTGCTAATAAATTTGGTTGATGTAATATTTAAGTGAAGCCTCAGTTTCAAAACCAGCACTTAAGGCAGTAGAACCTCTTTACCACCTACAAAATAGATGTGTACAAGAGAAGCAGTGCAGGCATTTATAGAATTGTGTGAAAGAATACTCAGTATAAATAGTATTAAATACTAGGGGTATGTCTGTGCAAACTGCCATTTCTGCCCAGTTTCTCTCTAGTTTTCAGTAATGAAGTTTCCTCCTTCTAACAGGTGATATAGAGAAGCCCCTGATATTTTCTTAACAATACTGAATGATCTTTTAACTTATTTGTTGTCAAAAGACAATTTGTATATATTTTTTATGTACAGTCAGCAAAATGAACAAACAAATTTTATGAATAGGTCATGGTGGTTTGAGTGTGGAGTTCATATACATGTTTTGAGTAGTTGTTTATCCAAAAATATGCATATGTATTTAGCAAATTGCTAGGCCCAGCAACTGTTGACCGTTTGTGGACATAGTCTAAGGATTTTGTTGATGCTACATCTTCACTTAACATAACGCACATTTTCAATGTGGTGGGACTTGGATACATTGAACCTAATGTGCTGAATTTCCTGATTTCATTTTAAATGTCTAGGTTTATCCATTTTAAAAATTAGGTCTATTTCTGCCTATTAAAGCTATCGAGAATTTTTGTATTTGCATGAGAGAAAAATGCAAATGATCACAGTGTTTTAAGCAGCAGTCAAATATAAAAGTTGTAAGGAATTGGCAGTTACCTGGATTTGTAGAACAGGTATTCAGATGGTGAAGATTCACATTTTGGAAGGTAGTTTCTTTGGTCGGTTGATTGGTTGTTTTAGGCAAAATGGAAACAGTAAAGAGTATCACATCCTGGAATAACAAGAGCTTAAATACTAAAGATTTCTGAAATTTCGGTAGATGAAAATATGAGTAGGAATATCTCTCAGGGACTCCTAGAGCATCTGAAGATGTTCCGACGTCTAGCCTATCCTGTGAGGAGTCTAAAGATGGGAAAGGTACAGGGGAAGTCAGTTGTCTATTCCTACGCTGTGTCTTTCAACTGTGCCTCTTCTTTCCCTTCCTCCCAGTGTTGCTAACAACCACAAGCAGAATCTGATGACAGTTGCAAACCTTGGTGTGGTGTTTGGACCTACCCTCCTGCGGCCTCAGGAAGAAACAGTAGCAGCCATCATGGATATCAAATTTCAGAACATTGTCATTGAAATCCTCATAGAAAATCACGAAAAGGTAATTGGTCGCTTTGAGTGAAGAATTTACTTTGGGAAAAACTGAGTTGGAATTGGAATTCTGGTTTGCCTGGGGTTTGCATGGCTAATGGTTCTTGTACTATGGTGATGATGACATTGCTGATCGTGGTGGTCCTTGTGGTGATGATAATCATTCAGCGATGACAGCAGTGACAACAGTGGTGGTTATAGTGGTGGTAGAGGTCGACATTTATTCTGTGATGGGAGCTATGCTAATAAGCACTTTATGTTGTCATTTTATCCTCACAACAAAGCAACCAAGCAGGTACTATTATGAGCCTCGTTTTAAAGATTTCCTTTTCCCATTATTTTTTTTACTTTGTTGTCTTTTTAGGAATTTATCGGTTTGTTTGTTTTTTTTTGTATTAGGGATATTGACGTGCTTTCACAGTTACAATTATATTGCAACTGTGGTGTGGTGTGTTTTCCTAATCCATGATTTGCCTTTCAGTTTTATAAATGGTGCATTCTTTTCATACAGTTTGTATATGTGGGTATGTGTGTGTATGTTGGCAGGGGTGGGATGTATGGTAGTCTTTTCTTTCGGGCAATTGGAGTTTTTAGTCTTTCTTAAGAAGATCTCCCTCATTTCACATAATGAAGTATGTCAACACAGAGCTGCCTGTAAAAAACGAGGGCAAGGAGCATGAAGCTTTACCCATCCTTCCTGCTTCAGCTCCTAGAAGCAAATCTCCAGGAAGCTTCTCAGAAACTGTAGGGTCCTCTTAGGGCACCATTTAAAACCACAGCACTGGAATCTGATTAAAAAAAAAATGCTGTTCCTCCTAAATAAAATGTTTACTCAGAAGGGTGAGTTAATTGTGCTAGATCAATGTAGAAACAGACCACTTCTCACTACCTACACTCACAGCACTGTAATATAAGCCTCTGGAATATAACTGGATTTTTACCAAAGTTTCCTGGTTTATTTTGCTGCACCTACCCTTTGCCTGTCCATTCTGATATTAACTTACAGAGTGAGTGCTTTGAAAAAATACTAGGTCATATCATATCATTTGTCTCCTAAAAACCATCCGGTGGCTTCCCATCTCACTGAGTGAAAAGTCAGAGCCCTCACAGAAGCCTTGGCTGTCCTACATGGGTCTGCCTCTGTTGTTGACCTCATCTCATTTCCTATGGCCATCTCCTTTATTTCACTCCTCTGGCCACTGCCTTACAGTTCATGTACTCACACACAGCCCACATTCCCACCTCAAGGCCTTTGAATTTGCTGTTCCTAATGCTGGGGACACTCTTCCTCCATCTAAGTACACACTATGTTTCCTCTCCTCTTGCAGGCCTTCTCAGTGAAGCTGATCCAGATAGCTCTGTAGTGCGATCCTCCACCTACTTGATCCTACTTTCTCTCTCCGTAGCACTTACTACTTTGTACCCTAGTATATAATTTACCTGTTGATCTGACCTGCTGCTTTTCTGGTCTCCACTGGAATGTAGGCTTCAAAAGGCCGGGAATTTGTCTGTTATGCTTATTTCTTGGTCCTCAGGTTCTTAGTAGACAGTACATATGTGATGTGTGCATGAATTGACTTTAGGGTAGCTAGTATCCAAAATGGCTTTCTGTGACCTTTATCTCCTGCAATTTACTCCCTAAAGTACCGTGAAATGGGATCCCAGTTTTGAACCCAAGGTGATCAGTAAGAATATTGACCCCAGTCTAATAATAAGACATTGTAAAATTAATGGAATGTAACTTTGGAGACTAGTCACAGAAACCTTGCAGCATTTTCTTTAGTTTCTGAACTTGCTCACACTGGGGCAAGCAAGCCACCAAGTTATGAGGTTGTTACACAGTCCTGTGGGGAGTAAATAAGTGGGGCCTCCTACCAAAATCCAGACCAACTTGACAGCCATGTGAGTAAATTCTAATTGGGTCTTTAGATGATGCAACCTCAGCTGACATCTTCAGTGCAATTTCATATGAGACCATAGAGCTGATTCTTTCGTGGATTCCTGACCATATAAATTGAAGAGAAAATAAGTGTTTACTGTGGTTTCAAGCTTCTAAGTTTTAAGGGTAATTTGTTATGGAGCTAATAACTACTAAAGGACTTCTGAATATGAACTTTCACAAAGCAACAGAACTATCCTACAAAGGTATTTAAGCACATTGTGTCCCTCATGCATGGTTAATAATAAGATGGAGAACCCAAATTGTTTATTTGAAGAAATTATCTTCTCTCTATCACAAACATTGGACTTCTGTCCCTCCACCCGCCTCAAATATAGTAAGTCATATATAGGAGAAATTTATGTTACATGTGATAAAAATGAAATTTATGCTATATGTGATAAAAATGAAATGAAATAAAAATGAAATATAATGAAATAGCAGTTGACAACATGGTTTCTAAAAATAAATCCATTTGGATTCAGATCTGCTGCCCATGACTAGCTGCGTGACCATAAGCAGACTACTTAACATTTCTTTGCCCATGAAGATACTTTCAGTACAGTCTAACTGCAGCAAATAGCTTCAGAATATCAGAGAGTCAGGACAGAAGAGATGATCTGTGCTCACATAGCAGCTCACTATGGGCATTCTGAGGGTGGCATCCTGTATGGTGAATGAGCAACCCCAGCTCCTTCCACACTGTAGCTCTGCTTTCTTCTCTGCAGATCTTAGTCAATAGATAGGGGAAAGGAGAGAGCGTGGAAGATTAGGTAAGGTTACATCGGCCAAGGCTAGAAGCTACTTTCCTTATATTCTTCACTGTTCCATTTGCCAGAATTCAGTCATGTGGCCACATCTAACTGAATAGGAGGCTGAGGAAGTAACTTCCTTGAGTAGTCAGAGCAGAAGGAAGCAAGTTGGCTGACCAACTAACCAGTATGCCACAGTCTGTCAGTTGTCATTTACGTAAAGGACTCAGCCAAATATCTGGCATGTGGTAAGGTTTGATAACCATAAACCATTGTTTCTAGCAGTTCAAGCACAGTTCTCTGAAAATAGAGCTAAGTTCATCTCTGAATATCACATGTGTCACTCTCCCCAGAGAGTGACCTTTTTAAAAATATATTTTTTTAAGATTTATTTATTAAAAATTTAAAAATATGTTTTTTTAAGATTTATTTATTTATGCATACAAGAGCTGGGGCACAGGCCAGCGATGCGGGGGGTGAGAGGACCCACCAGAGACAGAGTGGGGAACAGAACAGGCAGACTGACTGAAACACATTGCTGAGGGAAGCAGCGCGAGAGACAGGAGAGGTCTGCTGCGCCATGTGGGTTGCTCCCTGGCCGTCCAGGAATCGAATTCGTGCTGCAGAGACTGCGATTGCTTTATAGTGCAGTGCTTAACCTCTTGCACCACCAGGGAGGCCCTAAAAATAATTTTAAATGGTAAAACAGACCTCTAAGGAATAAGCAATTTAATTATGTTTTGTTTTCCTAAGGGCATATTGGAGCTTATAGCAGGCATCATCTAATGGTTTGGAGCTGTAAACTCTTTTTGTTGTCCTTGGGTCTTCAAAGCTAAATATGAAAGTATCACAATAGAGAAAAGGATTAGATACTGCTAATGACAATATTGAAACTTGTGTAAACAAGCAGCCAACCTGCCTTGGGCACAGAATATAGAAGTAGAAATGAAATATGAGATGCATGGCCAGGCCTATAAGTATATCAGCAAGAACTGGTAAAAATACTCATCTAGAGTGGTAGATTATAAATTATTACTTTATGCTGTATATTTGGTGAGGCACATATTAAAAGAGTATTATAGTGCTTTATTATATGTTCTTTTTATTGGTCTATGCCAGAAAATGGATGAATCACAGTGAGATTTATGTCCCTATGAAAGCAAATGAAAGATTATGAGTAAACATTCCTGGGATGGAGGCTGCACCAGAGTATGTGTCTCCAGTCCTGAGAGCTAGTATACTACCTGAGAGAGTTTTTTTTTCCTGAGGTCCCTGATGAGCTCGAGTTATATGAAAGATCTATAATATGTAATATGTATATTATTCTGGGGAGAAGGTCTTTAATATTCATCTGGTTTGGGCCTCCCCTGGTGGCGCAGTGGTTGAGCGCTGGGCTGCAAAGCTGCCTGCAGCCTCTGCAACACCAGTTCGATCCCCGGCCGCCGGACAAGGGTCCCACATGGCGCGCAGACCTCTCCTGCTACATCTGCTGCTCCCCTTAGAGTGTGTTTCTTCAGTTTGCCTGCTCTGCTCCCCGCTCTGGCTCTGGTGAATTCTCTCACCCTCCCGTGCTTCTGACTGTACCCAGTGCTTGTATAAATAAATAAAAAATCTAAAAAAAAAAAAATTCATCAGGTATGCCTTTCTGGTAAGAACACCTTAGAATAAGGAAGCTTGACTCCCTTTCAAATGTAGCTTCAGCACTAGCCTGGTATAAAGCAAGCAGATGCTATCCTAGCCTCTTTTTTTTTTTTTTTTTAAAGATTTATCTATTTATTTATACAAGCACTGGGTACAGTCAGAAGAGCTGGAGGGTGAGAGAGTTCACCAGAGCCAGAGTGGGGAACAGAACTGGCAGATTGACGAAATACACTGCTGAGGGGAGCAGCGGGCACGGCAGGAGAGGTCTGCACGCCATGTGGGACCCTCGCTGGCGGCTGGGGACCGAACCGGCACTGCAGAGGCTGTGGGCAGCTTTGCAGCCCAGCGCTCAACCGGGCGCCACTGGGGAGGCCTCCTAGCCTCTTTCAGAACCCTGTAATGTTCACCTCACAGGAACCGCAAGCATCCTAGGTCATAAACTGGCCCCTGGCTCTCCGAAGACAATCGGTGAGTATTCTGCCCGTTAAACTTCGGATAGTTAAACATGGACAGAACATCTCTGTGTCTTCAGATGAATGTTGTCAAATACTTATTTAAATTCCACACTATTAAGATCTTAATTAATGTGATATAGTGGGCATTTCCTTAGGCTTGGTTATAATTTTCTAGAAACACACGCACATGCACACACACGTCCAGGGTATCTACTTTTCTAAC